GACATCATTAGGAGGTCATCACCTTCATAGATTTTAGGAAGTTCTCAATGCACTAGACTTCCATATCCTCCCTCAAAAGCTCACTTCCAGCTGTCTAGAGTGTAAGAGCCAGAAGGGATGGAGGACACCAGGAGAACAAGGCCCCCTGAATCAACTGAGCAAGGCTCATATGAACTCACAGAGACTGAACAGCAAGCACAGGGCCTACACAGGTCTATACCAGGTCCTCTGCATATATATTACAGCTTTCAGCTTAGTATTTTTATGGGACTCTTAAGTGTGGGAACAAGTGAGTCTCTGTGTTGTCTCTTGGGGCTCTTTTCCTTCTGTTGGGTTGCCTTGCCCAACTTTGATGTGATGGTTTTATTTTATCTTATTATATTTTATTTGGTTATTATCTCCTATAAGCCTGAGGGAGTGGATCTGGAGAGGAGAGGATGGCAGTGGGGAGGAACTGGGAGGAGTAGAGGGAGGAGAAACTATAATCAGGATATACTGTATGAGAAAATAATCTATTTTCAGTAAAAGGTAAAAAGGAATTACTTTTAATTAAATTGAGGCTAAAACACTCTCCAGTTTATACAATGAGGCCATTGATATTTCCAATAGTATAATGAGACAAGTACAACACTTTCAGAAACTTATGGGTTAATTTCTTCCATGAACATTGATATAAAATTCATCAACAAATTAAGTAAATTAAATCCATCAATATATAAAATAACCTATCACAATTATGTGTGAAATGCACACTAGAAATGCAAGACTGGGTTAATATTAAAAAACTTCCCCCTCGTAATTTACTATATCAATAAGCCAAGGAAAAGTAACATGAACTTCTCACCAGATACTAAAAGAAGCAAATACCATATGACAAAATAAATTAAATCCCATTCATGATTGGACAGTCAAACAAAAGAAAGGGGAAAAAGCCCCAGCTAATTCAAGAAGATAAGAAAGAAAGAAAAAAGGGTCAGGTGTCCTGGCACACAATTTTAATCCAGGGCAGATGGATCTGTAAGAGTTTGAGGGCAGCCTGGTCTACATAGTAAGTTCCAGGATAGCCAAGACTATGTAGAGAGCTCCTGTATCAAAAAAGAGTATATGTACAGTTCAAAAGCAAGAGGGCCGAGCTGGTTCTGACAACAGAGACATTGACTAGTAGAAACCCCAACAGGTAACAACAGTAGGTGAGGTAGCAAGGCGGCCGCTGAAAAAGTTGTTAATGCTAACACTATTAATGTACAAAAGTTCTGCATACTATTTATAACTGATTAGAACTGAATTTTAAGCACTCTTCTAAGGCATGGTGGCTCATGCCTGCAGTTCTAGTACACAGGAGGCCGAGGCAGAAAGTCTGCCTCAAGTTTAAGGCCAGAATTGGTTCCATACACATAAACTCTAAAACAAACAAAAAAGGTAATGTGTTTAAATACTATTCTAAATGGTACAAAACTCCTAAGTATCTATCAAAGCATATGAAAGATCTACAGAGAGCTATAATCATGGATGCAATCTTTAAATAGTATTAGACACTGGATATCTCAATATGGATGTTTGTAAATGCTTTCTAAACTTGTATGCAAATTCAACTGAATTCTAACACAAAAATCTCGGCAGTACATTTTAAAAAACAAATAAAATAAGAAAGTATTCTAAATGTGTATAAACTGCCAAAGCAACTACAATAACTGAAACAACAACTTTTAAAAGAATGGAGCAGTTAATTCATGGAACCCTATTTCAAGGCTTCTGCAAAGTTCCAGTAATGAAGAGAGCATGCTATTGTCAAGACAATAAATGTGATTATTAGTGGGATAAAGTAGAGTCTAGATATAGACCCAAGCCCATTTGGCAATTGACTTTTAACAAATGCACAGAAGTAATTCAATAGAGAATAATATTGTCAATAAATGATATAAGCTAGGTGTCCAAAAATCCAAAGGAAAACCAAATAAAAACAATTTCAACAAAATTTTCATCTGTACCATGCATCATAAAAAAAACTCAAATGAGTCACAAATCTAGCCATAAAGCTAAAAGTATAAAAACTTGTAGATAAAAACTAGAAAATATTGACAAAAATTTCTCAGCTACCATATTAACATTGCATCTGAGAACTGGGAATATGATGCTTGACTGGGGTGTGTGAGTCCATGAAAATAGAAATCAATCTAAATAACCAACATTAGATTTCAGCAAAATGTGAAACCCTGGCCTTAGGAAGAGAAGTTTTTTAAAAAAGAATAAATAGAAAAACCACATACTTTATAAAGTAATTGTTGTACACATACAAAGTAACCATGCACTCCACATGCATGTGTGCGCCCCGCCCCCCCATGGGGGGGGGGAGAGAGAGAGAGATTGGAGAGAGAGAAGAGAAAGGGATTTCAAAAAGAAATCAAGAGCTGAGAATACAGTTTAATGGTAGAGTTTAATTATGTACTTGCTTAATATAGGGAAGTCTCTGAGTTAATCCAACACTATAAAAAAAAAAAGTCGCCGGGCGGTGGTGGCGCATGCCTTTAATCCCAGCACTCGGGAGGCAGAGCCAGGCGGATCTCTGTGAGTTCGAGGCCAGCCTGGTCTACAGCGCGAGATCCAGGAAAAGGCGCAAAGCTACACAGAGAAACCCTGTCTCGAAAAACCAAAAAAAAAAAAAAAAAAAAAAGTCAACTCAACCAAAATTGGTATAAATGTTGAATGGATCCTTTATACAGAATTACACAAACAGAGGCAACGCATAAGCGATGCTGGCTGGCGTTGAGTTTAGAGAAAAGGAAGTTCACACATTCACTCTATAACCCAATGTCACCAGCAGAAGAGCTAAAGCCTGGCAAGCTGAGCCACTGAAATGTGGGGGAGAAGAAAAAGAAAAAAAAACAGAGCTGGGCGGCAGTGGCACAGGCCTTTAATCCCAGCACTCGGGAGGCAGAGCCAGACTGATCTCTGAGTTCCAGGCCAGCCTGGTCTACAAAGCGAGATCCAGGACAGGCACCAAAAACTACACAGAGAAACCCTGTCTCAGAAAAACCAAAAAAAAAAAAAAGGAAAGAAAGAAAAAGAAAAAAGAAAAAAAAATCGGCAGGAATGCAAAAACGGTATAAGCGTTTCAAAACACTGGTCATTTCTTATACAGTTAGGTTCACACTTACCATATGACCCATCAGTCAACCTTCAACTATATTTTTCACTTAAGTGTAAATGTATAGAATGGCTTTATCCCAGCCGGGCGGTGGTGGCGCACGCCTTTAATCCCAGCACTCGGGAGGCAGAGCCAGGCGGATCTCTATGAGTTCGAGGCCAGCCTGGGCTACCAAGTGAGTTCCAGGAAAAGGCATAAAGCTACACAGAGAAACCCTGTCTTGAAAAACAAAACAAAACAAAAAAGAATGGCTTGATCCATAATCACTCAAATTAGAAACTTAAGAGCCTCCTTCATCTAGTGAATGAATAAATTACTGACATCTGTCATGGAATACTTATTAACAAAAGGAACAAGGCCATTGAGGAATAAGAACGTTGGTGATTCTCAAGTGGCAAGTGAGAAAAGTCAGGATCTGAGTATTATGCATTGTGACTTGTATGTGCTGCACATGCATATTTTATATGAATCATTCTAGTTTTTATAATGTATTGTATTCCTCCCTTCTCTGCCCTTCTCTGTCTCCCTCCCGCCCTCCCTCTCTTGCTCCCTGCCCGCCTCTCAGAATGACTAGCCCTGGATACTGAGTTCTTTTCCCCCGTCTTCTTTTTGTCTGTGGTGTGAGGATGGAAGCCAGGGTCTCACAAGCACGAGACAGGTGCCCTCCTAACACCGCAGGAACTGCTTCAGATCTTGGTTTCTTGATACCACTCTTCAGGAAGAGTAACAGGCCTTCTTCTCCATGTGTAACTAACACAAATAAAATACACGAATAAGAGAATGGCAGCAGCACACTAGTGTGAGACAGCATTGGCCAACGCTAAAGCACGACCAACTCCAATGTTTCTGTGAATCTACAATTATTTCAGCTAGGATGGCAGTCATTAAGAAAAAGAGTAATGCCGGGTGGTGGTGGCGCACGCCTTTAATCCCAGCACTCGGGAGGCAGAGTCAGGCGGATCTCTGAGTTTGAGGCCAGCCTGGGCTACCAAGTGAGTCCCAGGAAAGGCGCAAAGCTACACAGAGAAACCCTGTCTCGAAAAACCAAAAAAAAAAAAAAAAAAAAAAAAAAAAAAAAGAGTAACAACAAATTCTGGCAAGGATGTGGACAAAAGGGAAGCCATGGAAGTCAGCAGGGAGCTTTCTCAGAAACCTGAAACCTGATCTCCCGTGTTTACACAAAGACTCCAAGTCAATGCATTACAGACACACCTGCATATCAATGTGTATTGAGGGGTGTTCACATGAGCAAATTTACAGAACCACCTAGGTGTCCAACAACAAAGCAATGGTAAAGAAAATATGAGATATACTCAACACAGAGGGGTTTTCAGCCATAAAGAATGAAGTCATGTCATTTGCAGGAAATGAACACAATGGGGGATCATATTAAGTGAATTAAGTCAGTTTCATGCAGACAAATAGTATTTCGTCTCATGTGTGCTTCCTACATAAATACAAAAAGTCATGCATGTGTGAAAGAAGGGACACTGTAGAGTACAAAGAGACAAAGGGGAGGGAGGGGTAACAAAAGGGTTAGGACACACCGGATGCACTTGTATAAAACTCACTTTTTAAAAAGTTTATTTTAAGAATGATAATAGCTACTCTGCAAAGCCAGTTGTTGTAAGAAGATATCCTCTGGCTTCATTTTGCCACGCTAGGAGACCAAGGACCCACAGTGGTTTTTAATATATCCTCCTTTTCTCTCCTAGAATGGACACTTTGGAACTGTCATCACTGTGAGTGTCCTTGGACACCTTTCCAGGACAGTAGACTTCTGCATGCATAGTTTCTGTTTCTGCAGTTTAACTTTACAGAAAGGAGTAATTCCTTCCCATTTTGTTCTCACTAGGAAACAGTCTGACAGCCCTGCCTAGTGCTATCTATAGTCTTTTGTCGTTGAAAGAGATAAATTTTGATGACAATCCTTTGTTGAGACCACCGATGGAAATCTGTAGAGGAAAACAGCTGCATACTATCACACAGTATCTCCAAAGAGCAGATGAAAGAGACGGTGGGTGATGAGTGAGGACCTATCTCCATAAATTTTCTGCTATCTGTGCATAAGGGAGCTTGCTTTGGTTGGAGACTTTGAGCTGGCAGTAACAAACTATCTCCCTTTTTCTGAAGGCTAGCTGTTTGTGTTGATTATTCAATGCTATCATGGGGGGATTAGAACATCTTCAGCTGTTCCTCAATCATTTTACCATGTACCATATCTACGTAACCAAGAGCATATACCAGGATAAACTAATGACAAAGCTGTAGTAAAAAGTACTGTCCTTTGTAAGCCACACTATACACTATGCACATGGCTGCCATGTAGAAGCTTTCCTAAGATTTGAGCCTCTTCTATCAATAAGAAACTTGAGAAAAAATTAAGTCCCAGTGGCTGTCTCCTTTAACTCACTGTAGGCTGACTATGCTAATTACTACACTCAAAGGTAATTTTTCTATAAAATAGGGGTCTCAGAGTTCCAAGTGTCTACGTGGTATTTCTATTGTGGATAGTACCTTAGAGAAAGGTGGTTGAGTTACAGGACTGAACCTCCATGCTAAAGCTCTGTTTCTCCAGTTCTCAAAGAAATACCATTCTTGCTGCTCTACTTTTGACGGAGAAAGTGCAGTAGCAATGACAGCATCTCACAGATTGGAGGAAGAGAGCAATCTGGAAACTTACCACATCTCTGTATGCTTTAAGGAGACTTTACCCTGCAATTTTGATCCTTGATGAAGCTGGGAGAAGTAGCCTGGGAAACATATTTATTCCGAAGTTAACAAGGATCACAGAGTCCCTTCTGAGCATTTTATTAAGCAATTCTATTTTCTTTTTATCATTAGCATGAAATCTAGTCTGAGGAATTAACAGTGTATATACAATTTCTCAAAATGAAAAGGCCATAATGTTTTTGAGATATGGAGCATGGGAGATCCTTAATTCTTGAAAATTCTCATAGTGTTCTAGTTAACAAAGGTGACTTTAGATTACACTTTCTAGAAGCTCTGGCCAACAAAGACATATCTACATAGCACTATCTAGAAGATTTATTATTTTAAAAGGCACTAATGGGTTTGAAAAGATGGCTCCGTGGTTAAGGGCATATGCTGCTCTTGCAGAGATTCTGAGTTCAGTCCCCAGCACCCATGTTGGTTAGCTCACAACTGCCTGAAATCCCAACCCCAGAGGATCTGATTAATACTTTTGGCCTCTGTGGGTACCTATACTCACATGCACCTGCCCCCCCCAAACATACTCTTTTATATATATATATATATTTGAGATATGGTCTTTCTATGTAGTCCTGGTTGTCCTGGAACTCATTATGTAGAGCAGGCTAGCCTCGAACTCACAGAGATTGCCTTCCTCTGCCTTCCCAAGTGTTGGAATTAAAGACATATGCTACCATGCCTAGCCTTAAGTAAATTAAAAAAATAACTAAATAATAAAGTATTTTAATATGAATATGCACCTATATGCCATACTTACAACAGATGCTAGTTTCTCAAAGTAGTTAATATAAAACAGCCAGAATTGAAGGAAGGAATCAAATTCATTTCAAATCCAGAAAAAAGTAAAGAATTTGGAGATCACTATCAAGTTGCTTTAAGATGCTTTTAAAGCAGCCATTTTAGGCTGTAGGTCTCCTTAGATTCTAGAAGTAACAGGATGGGGAGCACAAACTGAAGACAGTTCAGCTCTACATTGTCATTTTCAATTTTATTCGACATATATGTTTGATAAAAACACAGAAGAAAACTAAATATTAACTCAAAGTATCTTTTTTTTTTCAAAATAAATAATGTTTCTTCTATGTTCAAATGTAGAGAAAATCTTAGAGAAGATATTCAACGTAGTGGCCAACAATATCAGTGAAATAAACTTTGAATTTTTGCAACAAAAACTAAACATGAAAAGCTCAGAAAGCATCAGCTCTGTAAGGAAGTAAGTATGAATGGCATTTGGTATGAATGCATGTTCACCCCTGCGTTTATATGACCTCGATATGAGAGTCTTGAAATATTTACATTAACGTAAACTCTACTACAGACGGTGGCCTTTCGCCTGTCCCATATTTGCCATCCTTGCTGGGCAACCATACCATGTAATGGCGATGAAGGGCTATGTGAGATGAGCTGCTGGGCTTGTAGTCCAGCTGGCTTCCTGGTCTTCAGCGTGTCCTTTTCTTTCTCTCTGCTCCAGTTTCTTCCTGCCGTGAGGATTAAGTGAGACCAAGCCATAAAGTATGCATTGTATTGCATTGGGTTATAGTAAATAACCCACAGTGATTATTGTCTTAATAGTTGAATGTAAGTTGAAATGTAAGCTTTTTTATAATGTTTGCTTCTGTGTGTCAGGCTCATTGTAAATGTTCATGTATACTGTTTTCAGCTAAATGTAGTCTCACATAAATATGGAAAATTAATTTGAAAACTTAGACAACCTTTAAGGAGCTTAAAGTAATGTTCATGGCTGGTAATTAAAATAATTGTTATTTAAATTTTCACAGTACTACTCCATTGTTAAATGAAAGAATCTACCAAGCCTTTGTTAAGTGGAAAGCAGATCAGAACGTGTTACTCACAGCTACGGCCTTAAGAGACCAACTTGTTCGGGGACTAAATATGATTGGTGCCTACGACATAATGGATAAGATCACAGCTTTGAATCTTTATACAAGTGCCATCAAACTCTAGCCGGTGGATCTGAGTAGAAGCTGAAAACTTACAATGCACTCACAGAATATGATACAAGGGAATTATTTGCATATAGTGTCTCTTTTTTTGTTTCTAGTAGTTATTTCTTTCATTTGTGTGTGTGAACATGTATGTGCTGCAGTTGGCCTGTGCAAGTCCAAGGGAAACGTCAGGTACCGATTTTCCCCTTCTATCACGTAGCTCCAGAGCCTGAAATCAAGGCATCAGGCTTAGCCCACATCATGTCTCTGTTCATTACTAAGAGATGCTGTGAGTCTGTGCCTCCCAGTCTAGTTTTATCACAAAAAATATTACAGACAAGGCTTTGTATGTTTTTCTGCTATTGAATTTGAAAATAATTCTATTAAATATATTAATATAATACTCTTATGAGTCAAGTAATAGGTTGTTGGTGATTTCCATTGGGTTGAGAAAGAAGAAAAGTTTCTGATTTATAATGAAAATGGCATACCATCTCTGTTTTCCCCTCATTTAGGAATTAGGTGTCTTTGTTATCCAAAAAATAGAGCCAGGGCCAGTATTCCTTCAGTTGCATGCCCTGATGGGAATGATGGCATGAGCATCTTCTCTCTTCCTGTTCTGTATTTTCCCCCTTTCTTCTTCTACAGAAATTCATTCATGAGGAATCCACTACACATATTTTATGTGCAGCTGCCCTTGTTGTGTGTAACCTGTTTTCCTCTTCCTTGAAGCCATCAATATTAAGGTCTGATTGGCTGTGGCAAGCCATTCGACTCAAGCCAGGTCAGTGAGTTTCCCTTGGTCTTTTCTGGAGAACTTCCTGGGAAGATGATTCCTTTTTGTTGGGTGATTCTGCATCTGGGAGCATGTGGTCATCTGCCTAGTGTTGCATAAAGGAAGATAGAATCCTTGTTATATTGTTCGGGCCTCAAATCTAACCATAGCTGAAGCTCACTGTGCTTCTGAACATTCCACTTTCACTCCTTTGAGTCAGCGCGACTCCCATGGGTTTCTACAACTTTTAGTGAAAAGAGACCAATTTAAGTAGTTAATGATATTGTAGACACAATGCAGTTTAAAACTCTATGTGAGAACTAATCATAGGAACAAATTTATCTTCTGGGTTGGAATTTGTATATATTTTATCAGTTGTGAAATGCATTATAAAATACTGATTCAACAGCAAAACATCTCTAATCTGCCCCTATTTTGAAATATTTTCCAGTAGGAATATTACTACCCTGGGATTGTATTAGCTTAGTGTCAACTGCTGTTCATATAACTCACTAGAAGTGGGATATTTTAACAGAACATCCGAGTGAGAATGTCAGTTCATTTTTATAAATGAACAAATTTAAGACCTAGAAAACGTAAGTGCTATAAATGAGAGGGAGGAAAGATAATGGGAGGGGAAGGGGAGGGGGAGGGAATGGGGAGGAGGGAGGCAAGACAGAGAAAAAGCACAAATAAAGAAGCCTTTTAAAAACTATAAAAATCGGTTAGGGTTAGGGGTTAGGGGTTAGGGGTTAGGGGTTAGGGGTTAGGGTTAGGGTTTAGGGTTTAGGGTTTAGGGTTTAGGGTTTAGGGTTAGGGTTAGGGTTAGGGTTAAAAAAAAAAACTATAAAAATCTTCCTATTGTCAACAATCGCCCCCTAGTGGTGAGAGTCTCAGTAGTTCACAGAGATGATCTCAAAGTTAGGCAAATTGAACCTGGTTAAGAATCCTTAATTGCAGAGGCAGAGGCAGAGGCAGAGGCAGAGGCAGAGGCAGAGGCAGAGGCAGAGGCAGAGGCAGAGGTGAGGTCATAATAAAGACCAGAAGCTGAGCTTTTATCCACTGAGGAGTTAGTGAGAACATTAAGAGTTTGGAGCAGGGACGCCTTTAATCCCAGCACTCAGGCAAGGAGCCATGTCCATGGGACTCGACCAGAACTGACCCAAACATTCTGCCTGAGTCCAACCCAGGGCCCAGCTGCCGATCCTGTGAAATGCAACAACTTGGAGGTGTTGGTGAGATTGCCCTACTGAACAACCTGCTCAGCTGAGATCCATTCAGGAGAGGTTTCAGAAGCCTACAGTCTGCAGTCTGAGGAAACAAGATCAGCTGAGGAGTTGACAAATGAGCAAACAGTGACCTGAGAACACAAAAGAAGGGGCCACCCAGCCACCGAACCAGATCACCAGAATCATAAGCCCACCTTACACTGACTGGGATCAGGTAAGGCCCCATCTCCTGACCGGCAGACCAGGTCTCTAGCCCTAGGCTCCAGCCATCAGAGTCCCAGGGACCAGACAGCCACCTTTCCCTGCTCCCCCACAAAAAAAAAAAAAAAAAACAAAACAACAACAACAAAAAAAACCAAAAAACAAACAAAACAAAACAACAACAAAACAAACCCCTACGAACCCAACAACCACCAGAGCCATAAGCCCACCCTGCACCAATTGGGAACAACTGCTCCCTGAGACAGAACCCACTAACACTGATTGGACTAAGCTGCTCTGGGAGAAACAGAGCCCAACAACACCTATTCGATCAAGAACCACTAGTGGACCAAGACTATCAGTTAGAAAAAGAGAGGCACCTTCAGACATAGACACAGCCTGCACCAAGCAGAGGAAGAGATGAGTAGACGCCAGTGCAAAAGTACAGGCAACAACATAAAGACCTATATGACAACATCAGAACCTAGCGATTCTACACCTGCAAGACCTGAACATACCAAGACAGAAGAAGCAGAAGAAATCAATCATAAAAATGACTTTAAGAAGATGATAGAGACCCTTAAAGAGGAAATGAAAAACTCCCTTAAGGAGGAAATAAAAAATTCCCTTAAAAAATGAAAGAAAAAAACAAACAAAAAAATTGGAAGAAATCAAAGAAAACCAAGAAAAAGTAATTAAACAAATGAAGGAAACAGTTCAAAATTTGAAAATTGAAATTGAGACAATAAAGAAAACACAAACTGAGGGAATGCTGGAAATAGAAATTCTGACTAAACGAACAGGAACTACAGATGCAAGCATAACCAACCGAATGCAAAAGATGGAACAGAGAATCTCTGACGTTGAAGACACAATAGAGAAAATAGATTCGTCAGTCAAAGAAAACACTAAAGACAAAAAAGTCATAACACAAAACATCCAAGAAATTTCGGATATCAGGAAAAGACCAAACCTAAGAATAATAGGGATAGAAGAAGGAGAAAATACCCACTCAAAGGCACAGAAAATATATTCGACAAAATCATAGAAGAAAACTTTCCTAACCTAAAGAAAGAAATACCTATGAAGATACAAGAAGCTTATAGAACACCGAATAGACTGGAAACAAAAAAAAAAAAGTCCCCACACCACATAATAATCAAAACACTAAACATACAGAACAAAGAAAAAATGTTAAGAGCCGCAAAGGAAAAAGACCAAGTAATATATAAAGGCAGACCCATCAGAATAACACCAGACTTCTCAATAGAGACTATGAAAGCTAGAAGGTCTTGGACAAATGTTATGCAGACACTAAGAGACCACAGATGCCAGCCTAGACTATTATACCCAGCAAAACTTTCAGTCACCATAGATGGAGTAAACAAAATATTCCATGATAAAACCAGATTTAAACAATACCTAACCACAAATCCAGCCCTACAGAAGGCACTAGAAGGAAAAATCCAACCTAAGGAAGTTAAATACACCCATGAAAACTCAGGCAATAGATAATACCACACCAACAAATACCAAAGACGGGAAACACAACACTACCACAAAAAAAAAAATATAACAGGAATTAACAATCACTTGTCATTAATATCCATCAATATCAATGGTCTCAACTCACCTCTAAAAAGACACAGACTAACAGAATGGATAAGAAAACAGGATCCATCCATCTGCTGCATACAAGAAACACACCTAAGCTTCAAAGACAGACACTTCCTCAGAGTAAAGGGCTGGGAAAAAGCTTTCTAATCAAATGGACTTAAGAAGCGAGCTGGTGTAGCCATCCTAATATCTAATAAAATAGACTTCAAACTAAAATCTATCAAAAGAGATCTGGATGGACATTACATATTTATCACAGGAAAAATCCACCAAGATGAAGTCCTGATTCTGAACATTTATGCCCCAAATACAAAGGCACCCACATTTATAAAAAAAAAATTACTAAAGCTTAAATTGCACATCAAACCCCACACACTAATAGTGGGGGATTTCAACACACCACTCTCACCAAAAGACTGATCTACCAAACTGAAACTTAACAAATAAATAAAGGATCTAACATGTTATGACTCAAATGGACTTAATAGATATCTACAGAACATTTCACCCTAACACAAAAGAATATACCTTCTCAGCACCCCATGGAACCTTCTCAAAAATTGACCACATGCTTGGTCACAAAGCAAATCTCAACAGATAAACATTGGAATAACCTTCTGTATCTTATCAGACCACCATGCCTTAAAGTTAGATTTCAATAACAACAAAACTATAGAAAGCCTACGATCTCATGGAAACTGAATAATGCCCACCTGAAGCACCAATGGTTCAAGGAAGAAATAAAGAAAGAAATTAAAGATTTCCTAGAATTCAATGAAAATGAAAGTACAACATACCTAAACTTATGGGACACTATGAAAGCAGTGCTAAGAGGAAAATTCATGGCTCTAAATGCACACATAAAGAAGATAGAGAAATCTCATACCAATGACTTAACAGCACAACTGAAAGCTCTAGAACAAAAAGAAACAAACTCACCCAGGAGGAATAGATGCTAGGAAATAATCAAATTGAGGGCTGAAATCAATGAAATAGAAACCAAGAAAACAATACAAAGAATCAATGAAACAAAGAGTTGGTCCTTTGAAAAAATCAGCAAGACAGACAAACCCCTAGCCAAATTAACCAATAGACAAAGAGAAAGCACCCAAATTAACAAAATCAGAAATGAAAAGGGAGACAACAGCAGACAACGAGGAAATCCAGAGAATCATCAGGTCATACTTCAAAAGCCTGTACTCCACAAAATTGGAAAATCTGGAAGAAATGGAAAATTTTCTGGATAGATACCACATACCAAAGTTAAATCAAGACCAGATAAACTATTTAAATAGACCAATAACCCCTAAAGAAATAGAAACAGTCATTAAAAGTCTCCCAAGCAAAAAAAGCCCAGGACCAGATGGTTTCAGCGCAGAATTCTACCAGATTTTCAAAGAAGAACTAATTCCAACACTCTTCAAATTGTTCCATACAATAGAAACAGAAGGAACATTACCAAACTCTTTTTATGAGGCTACAGAACCCTGATACCCAAACCACAAAAAGATGCAACGAAGAAAGAATTACAGACCAATCTCCCTCATGAACATTGATGCAAAAATACTCAACAAAATATTGGCAAAC